AATTAAGATGTTTGTTGTAGAAGGAATATTAATACTATGATAGTAGAAACTAGAAACAACATTAAATCACTTTGAGACTTATTTGCTTTGCTTCCCAACAGAAAAATCTTGGTAGATAACACTCGTGCCTCTGGGAAGAAGAGTATGGCTCAATAAATGTGAGTGGGAGAATGGACAAAAAAAATAAACTACAAAAAAATCAATTTCTGGGTCATGAACTAGAAAATTTTAATTTATTTTTCTCCATATAAGCTATTTTATCTTGATTTAGAAACACCTTCAATTGAAAATTCAGAAGCTATATACCAAAAATTAAATAACATTAACCTATACTCTGATCCAGCAGTAGGCACCACTCCTACAACTTATACATACTATTAGCCACCAAAAACTGCAGATGTTTTAGGAGAAACCCATACTAAAAATGTCCCTCAGTCTCAAAATCCTACTCCTCCCAAATATTTTCTCTACAGCTGAACTTGAGAAAGATTTACAGTGGTTAATTCTCAGGATTTAAATGAAGAAAAAAGAAAACTAAGTTAAAAAAATAATTATACCTCTTTTTTCAGTCCACAATTATGTTAATAAAAGTATATACCGTGGCCCATATATGGACACCAGTATATTGCCTTCCTATAAAAGAACAATCATAGGATCACAGAACTCAAGATTTAGAAGAGAACTGGAGTAATCTACTCCAACCCTTACCCAAATAATATATACCAACAAGTGGTCACCCCACTCTCCTGACTGATGATTTTTATCTCTCTCTAACCCTCTCCTCCACAGCCCATCCAACTTTCCATCACTTTCTCCTCTTCCTCTCTCCAACACCAATTCTGGAACCAAGAACTGTGATTAAATCAACTAAACCATTGTTCTGAGGTGTATCAATCTACTCCCCTAGGGTTCCATTCAACATCCCACAATTTCAGGACCAAAGTTTCCCTCCCTAGATACCCCTTCCCTATGAGTACTAACTCCCTCAATTAGAATATAAGATTCTTGAGGGCAAGGTCATTCTTCATTTTTGTATTTTTATCCCTTCTCTATATGAAGACCTTCAGATATCTGATAGGCAGGCTCTACAAAGGACAATACCAATTCATGCTAAGAACTTCATAAAAGATAAGAGGGTATTAACAATATTAAGTAAACTAGAGCCTTCCCTAAACTGAGCTAAAAACATCCAGAGTGGTGACAGATAAAGTAGGAAACATGTATGTAAAGTAATTTAAAAGTTAGGGTGGGAAGGGAGCCAAGATGGCTAAGTAGAAGGAAGAAGTCCTCTAGCTCCTCCCCCTAAAACTTCTCCAAACACATCTGACCCAATCCTGATGGGGAAATCCAAGAAAAGTCATAGTGAGTCAATCTGTTGGCTGAGCTAAGCATAACAAGAAAAGGAGAAGTATGTGGGCAGTGAGAACAGGGTCCAGCCAGGGGCTGCTCCAGTACCCAAGGACTTAAAGAGGACCAAGAATATGCACCAGAACAAGATAAGGCAACAGACTCATGCCAGGACACCATGACCTCATGCAAGATGATAGAACACATCCTAACTGGCAACTTTATCACTCACTACCCAAGTTCCAGGTCACAGATGAAGAATGGAGCAAGAAGGGGACGTGAACCAAGAGGTGTTCCAAGAGAAAGAGCTGTTGCAGGTCCTGGTATGTATCCTGAGCAAGGAACAGTCAGAACAAGAAACAGTTGTGAGACTCGGACTCCTGAAGTAGAGCAGCTTCTCAATTCCGACTGTTAGCCCAATCTAAAACCTGTAGAGAAATAAACAGAGCAGAAATCCTAGACCAAAGGAAGACCTGCAGTTCTTCTGTCACTCTGAATCATCAGAGTTTTGTAGTTAGCAGTCTAGCAGCAATCTAATGAAACTCCAAAGATGAAAAGCCCAAAAGTCTGTTGCTCAGATCTAAATCCAGGTCAGGAACTTACAGAACTTGTATCAGAGTGGCAGCAATCTGATTTGCTCCTGGAGAAGACCATTTTGGGAACAATGAAAGCTAGCAGGTACTCAGCTTGACCTGTCCCTGAGATCCTAGAATAACACAATACTTAATAACCCAGAAAAGAAAGCAAAAGGACCAGCCTAGATATTCCCTCCAGAAGAATAAGGATAAAGATATTTCATGAAAACTGCCCAGACCTCTGAGAACCAAAGGGAAAAGTAAAAATAAAGAATCCACAGGTCATCTCCTGAAAGAAACCCCAAAATGAAAATCCCCAGTAATGTTATAGCCAAAAACCTAGAGCTTCTGGGTCAAAGAAAAAAATACTGCAAGCATTCAGAAAGAATTCAAATACTGAGGAGGAACAGTAAGAATTGCACAAGATTTAGCAACTATCCCTATAAAGGAACAGAGAGCTCAAGTTACAATATTCCAGAAAGCAAAAGAGATAGGCTTACAGGGAAGAATAACTTATCAAGCAAAATTAAGTAAAATCCTACAGGGAAAAAGATGAACCTCTAATGAAATAGAGGACTTCCAAGTATTCCTGATGAAAAGACCAAAACTACATGGAAACTCTCAAGTACAAACCCAGGAGTCAAAAGAAACATAAAAAGGTAAACATAAATGAACAGTCATAAGGGACAAAACAAGGATAAACTAATAATATTCTAATGTGGGAAGATGATATATGTCCCCTCTGAATCTTATTATCCTTAGAGATCATAGAGGGAGTCAAATTAGAAAGAAAGCCTGGGAGTGGTTTTGCTATGTCTTGATGATCCTAAAAGAAAAATGGAAAGATAAGGAACAGTAATACACTAGGGAGAGAAAAGTTGGGAGAATTTCTCATATTTGGGATATGTGAGTCTATACAATCAGAGGGAAGGGATAACAGGAAGGACTGATACTTGACCTTGTGCAAGCGCGCACACACACACGCGCACACACACACACACACACACACACACACACACACACAGAGGGTCTGGTGCAGAAATACATTTTACTCAACAGGAAAACAAGAGGGAAAGGGCTGAAGAGGATACATTAAGTGAGGGATTAGTTCTAAGTTAAATTAACTATGAATAAAGAGGTACAAAAATATAGTATTTTTTTTTGTTATGGCAAAAAACTGGAACTGAGAGAGTGGCTATCAATTGGGAATGGCTAAAAAAAAGTTGTGGTATATAAATGTTATGTAATACTATTGTGCTGTAAGAAATAATGATGAGAATTGTTTCTGAAAAACCTGGAAAGACCTTTATGAACTAATGCAGAATAATGTGAACAGAACAGAATGCAATTTATACAAAGATAACAATTGTCAAAATGAAACAATTTTGAAAGAGTTAGGAACTCTGATCATCACAATGACCAACCATGATTACACAGGACTAATGTTGAAACATGTTACCCATCTCCTGAAAGAGCTGTGAAAGACCCAGAGTACAATATAAGACATCTTTTTTTAAACATGGTCAAAATTTATTTTGATTGACTACACATGTTTGTAACAAGGGATTTTTTTTTTTCTTTATTTCTCTAATGGATGGGGAACAAAGTAGAAGGCAGATTTTTGCTAAATGAAAAAATAAATAAAAATAAATTAAAAAAAAAAACTAAAAGCTGAGTTGTCAGCTTGAAACCTGTTGAGGCAAAAACACTTATGAACAAGAAAGAATAGTAAGGTTAACTGTCATCAACAGACCTCCCCATCAAAGGCACATTTTTAATCATAGACCCTCTATACTTTTGGACAACTAGAACTAAGTAGCAGTGACAGGTACCTCATGCCATTTATTTATAGTTCTAATGATTAGAAAATTTATCTTTTGTTTGTTTTTTGTTTGTTTTTAGGCAATTGGGGTTAAGTGACTTGCCCAGGGTCACACAGCTAGTATTTGGTCTGAGGCTGGATTTAAACTCAGGTCCTCCTGACTTCAGGGCCAGTAATCTATCCACTGTGCCATCTAGCTGCCCCCTAGAAAGTTTATCTTTATAGTGAGCCAAAATCAGTCTTCCTAAAATTCTCACCTACTCCTCTTAGTCCTGACCTCCAGAAGAAAATGGGATAATTCTAACCTGTCTTTCATGTAACCTATTTCTGTCCAAAAAGACAATCATTAAGTCCCATTAAAAAGCAACTAAAATATCAACACACTTTAAAACAGGTCCACTAGCAATATAAAGATCAAGTTATTATCTATGAGACATTCAAGTTCTGGGAAAGTGACTTTGATGAGAAACACAGAAAAAATCTACAGAAGTAGTTTGTTTACTCAAGAAAAATGTATGAAGTGCTTACTATGTACCTGGATTTTATGCTCAAAACAACTAATGTTTTTTTAAGATTATTTAAAACTTATCTGAAATTTGGTTTTCCCTACTTGCAATGAGGTCAGTTACTGTATAATAAGGAAGCTAAATGGCACAATAGATAGAATTCTGGGCCTAAGGTCAGGAAGATCTGAATTCAGATCCAGCCTCAGATACTTACTAAATGTGTAACCCTGGGCAAGTCACTTAACCTCTGTCTGTCTCTGTTTCCTTAACTATAAAATGAGAATAATAACATCACCTACCCCAAAGGGTTGTTAAGAGGATCAAATGACATAATATTTGTAAAATGCTTAACATGGGTGTGACACATAGTAGGTACCATGTAAATGCTTATTCCTCTCCCTTTCTTCCTTCCTTATATGGGCCAGAATACACATATACACAAGTTTTTAAAAATTAGATCTATTTAGATAAAGGTTTTATTTTATACAAAAGTGAGCCTATGGAATTTAAGAAAAATGTAAACACTCAGGTCACAGAGCTGGAACAGACAGAGGTCACTTGGTCCAACTCCCACATTTTCAAAATGAAAAAACTAACCCCTAAAGAAGTTAAGTGATTTGCCCAAGGTCATAAATACAGCAAGTGGCAGAGCTATAATTCAAATACGCCCACTGACTCTATATCCAGAGCGCCTTCCACTACACTATACTACCAACACTATTAAAATACAAGAAATATATAATTTCTTACCTGTAATCCATCCTTGAGTTTCAAGATGCACTCCATTGTATTAATAGTGATTACCACTGGCTCTGATCCTAATTTTGTCCATGGTACATGGATTCGTAATTCATGAATGTGTCCACTTAAAAACGTGAATGGCAATTTCAGTTCCTAAAACACACAATATCACAGGAACATTAAGAAATTAAGTTACTTAATTTTAAAATCAAAATGGTAAAAAATACAAATTTTTCCTTAAAAGAAGATTAATTTCCTAAGGTGAACATAACTACTTTATAGAATTTGGAACTCAAAGTTTTAAAAGCGAATATTGAGAATTGTTTTTGCGTGTAACTGGGGAAAATAAAATACTAAATAAATTTTTAAAAAATAACTACCTCATAAGACCTATAACAGTATGGCATAACTCCTTTAACTACAGCACAAAATAAGTCACACAAATTTATTATGTCTTTCCTACATAAAAAGATCATCTGAATACTGTTTTGTCAACAATTTTAAGTGTTTACTGTCTGGTCAATTCTTATTCTTATTAGACATGGAATAGCAATTAAATCATTTACGAATAGCTCCATAGTTTATAATTAATTTTAGTTAGTTTTCCCATAGTTAATTTTCCCAAAATTTCCAGTTTACCCTCAGCAAATCTCTCTCCTATAATTCAGCAAAGGAGCACAGAGTCTACACAATTTGGACTTTTAATTATATTATATATTCAATATATATATTCAATTATATATTGATGATAATGCTTAATCACTGAACCACTTCACAAACTCAACTATATGAAGAAATTAACTGTTAAAAGAAATTAGCCCTATATTCACATCCAACAAGCATGTTATGTATTTTAACTATCTATTTACATTAACTCAAAGTCATGCGCAAACACACACATAAAAACAGAGAGCTAGAAAGATAGCTCTGAGACTTCGTGCACGAATTCACTTTTCTGGGCCTGTTTCTACATCTATAAAATGAGGGAATTAAACCAAAAGACCTCTAAGATCCCTTTCCAACTCTAAATCTATTATCTATATAATACACAGTAACAAAAGTAGACAAGATTTAAAGAGGAAAAAAACAGACTTTACAGAAAAGAAGTTAGGCATGCAAATGAGTCTCAAGGCAAAGGTTCTCTTTAGTTTTCTGGGATCTATAAACCAGTTAGAAACCACAGAGAAGCAATATTTCTCCCTATATATCCTCTGTTCTTCCCCTCTTGTACCCGACCCAGTTCAGCACAGCACTCCAACTTTTGAGGACATAAGTGCCAAAGGGTAACAATTAGCCAGGTAAATTTTTCTCTACTTGAATTTCTATTTGCATCACTATTAGAAGAGGTCAATAGTAGTCTTGGTACTGAACATGTGACTAAGTTAAACTTGCCACTGGTCTCTCAAACTTATCATTTTGAAAGACAATCATTATTGGGCAGAGCCAAGATGGAGTACTTCATATCAAATTCTGAGCAGGATAACCAACAAAAAGTCATGGTGAGTCATTTTTCCAGCCTACAGAAGCTTAAGAGGACAGAAAGAGAGTTGTGTGGACTCTTGGAGTATGAGCTGGCTGAAAGCAGAGGGAAACACAGCAGAAGCACCACTAGCTGTGAGCTCTGGAGGCTGTGGGGGCAGCAGCAAGGGTGATAGTGGCAGTGGGAGCAGCACCATGAGCACCCAACACCCAGAGTCAGTAAAGAGACTGAACCCTTGGTCAGAAAGAGATTCCAGACAGACCTCCAAGTTAAGACTGCCATTCAGCGGCTCCATTACCCAGGACCCAGGTCCAGTTCATAATTCCAATGTGAAGAGGGGCAGTTGCAGTTATGATTAGCAAGTGAGCAAGGGCCCTACCTAAGTAAGGTTCAGAAGAGGAATAACCAGAACATACTCCAGATCATATACTCTAGGCCCCCAGATATAGCTACGAATATAACAGGCCATAAAAGCCTGAACCTCAGGCCAATCACACCTGCCAGAGGTGAGCAGAGTCCAACCCTAACATAACGTCCAAAGTCAAGAAATAAGCTGGAAGGATGAACAAAGATCAAAAAAAGAATCTGACCACAAAAAGGTACTATGGTGATAAGGACACTCAAGATACAAACTCTGAAGACAATGGCTTGAAAACATATACAAGCAAAACCTCGAAAGAAAAACACAGACTGGATACAAGCCCATCAAGAATTCCTAGAAGAGTTAAAGATGGATAGATATATAGATAGACCCTCACACACACACACCTACAAATATGTACATACATATACACACACACATCTATTTTTAAAGAGCAAAAAAAGATTTTCAATGTCACATAAGAACAGCAAAGGAAAAACTGAGAAAAAAAAATGAGAGCTATGTATGAAAATTATGAAAAGAGAATAAGCAGCTTGGTAAAAGACTGAAAAAAAATTGAAGAAGTATTAGAAATATTGAAGAAAAATACCTCCTTAAAAATCAGTATTGGTCAAATGGTAAGAATGGTACAAAAAAATACTAAAGAAAATAACATCTTGAGGCAGCTAAGTGGTGCAGTGGATAGAGCACCAGCCCTGAAGTCAGGAGGACTTGAGTTTAAATCTGGCCTAAGACCAAACACCTGATACTTACTAGCTGTGTGACCCTGGGCAAGTCACTTAACCCTAATTGCCTAAAAATAAATAAATAAATAAATAAATAAAAAATTTTAAAAAGAAAGAAAATAACTCCTTAAAAATCAGAATTGACCAAATGGAAGCTAATGACTCCACAAGACATCAATAAACAATAAAATAAAGTCAAAAGACTGACAAAAATAGAAGAAAATGTGAAATATCTCACAGGAAAAACAACTAACCTGGAAAACAGATTGAAAAAAGATAATTTAAGAATCACTGGAGTACCTGAAAAGTCATGATTACAAAAGAAGCCTGGACATCATATTTCAAGAAATTATAAAGGAGAACTGGCCACATGTCTTAGAACCAGAGAGGAATGTAGAAGTAGAATCTACCAGTCACCTCCTGAAAGAAATCCCAAAATGAAAACTCCTAGGAATGTCAGAGCCAAATTCCAGAGCTTTCAGATCAGGGAGAAAATATTTTAAGCAGCCAGAAAGAAAGAATTCAAATACCACAGAGCCACAGTCAGGATCACACAAAATTTAGCAGCTACCACTATACAGGAGCAGAGGGTTTGGAATATGATATTCCTGAGCAAATGAGCTAGGATTACAACCAATAATAACTTATCCAGAAAAAATGAGTATAATGCATAGGAGAAAAAATGAATATTTAATGAAATAAAGGACTTCCATGCATTCTTGATGAAAAGATCAGAGCTGAATAGAAAATTTGACATTCAAACACAAGACTCATGAAAAGCACAAAATGATTAACATGAATAAAAAAATGCTAAGAGACTAAACAAGGTTAAATTATTTATATTTTCATATGGAAAGATGATACATGTAACCCTTAAGAAATTTTATCATTATTAGAGCATTTAAAAAGAGTCTACTTAGACAGAAGGTGCGGTTATGAGTCTATTATGCTGGGATGATCCCCAAAGAAGGTTGAGAAAAAGGGATGCACTGAGAGAAGGGGGATGGGAGAGGAAGGTTGGAAAAAATAATCTCACATAAAAGAGGCACACAAAAGAGGGAAAATGGGAGAAGTGGGCAATGCTTGAATCACATTTTCATGTGAACTGGTTCAACGAGAAAAGACAGATAAATAAATAGATTAGATTAGATTAGATTAGATAGATAGACAGACAGATAATTGTTGGGTACAGAAATCCATCTTACCCAATGTGGGGGGGAGCAGGAGAAGCAGGGAGGAGATATGGTAAGAGAGAGGACAGATTATAAGAAGTATTAATCAGAAGCAAAACAGATTTTTGAAGAGACAGGATTAAAAAAAGGATAAATAGAAGAGAACAGGATCAAAAAAAAGGAAAAGGACCCATATATACAAAGATATTTTTGTGGTGGAAATATTGGAAACTGAGTCCATCAATTAAGGAATGGCTAAATAAGTTATGGTATATGAATGTGATGCAATACTATTGTACTATAAGAAATGATGAAGAGGATAGCTTTAGAAAAACCTCAGAAGACCTATATGAACTGATGCAAAATAAAGTGGGCAGAACCAAGAGAACACTCTACACAGTAACAGCAATTTCATAATAAGAAAAATCAGCTATTAAAGACTTGGCTACTTTGATCAATACAATGATCCTCCACAATTCCAAAGGACTCATGATACAAAATGCTATCCACTTCCAGAATGAGAACTGATGGACTCAGTGCAGACTGATGAATTTCAGGAGTGCAGACTGAAACAATTTTTTCTATTCAGTTGTTTTTTTTGGGGGGGGGGGTTGCTTTTGTTTTCAGAACATCGCTAATGTGGAAATATTTTTTCATGATTGTATATGTATAATCGGTATCGTGCGACCTCAGTGGAAGGAGAAGGGTATAGAGGGAGGGAGACTGGAACTGAAAATAAAATAAAAACATGAATGAACAAAGATGATCACTAGTACAGCAAAATAAGATGTGTGGTTTTTTGTAAACCTTTCCATTCCTTCGAAAACTTACTGAGTTTCCTTCCCCTACCCTTTCAACTGAGAACCCTGCCTCATTTCACTGAAAAGACTAAAGGCTTTCACTAAAAGTTCCTTCTTCTCCCCTCCTCACATCACCCAGATGCCTTCTGCCACTATCTCCTCCTATCTCACATGAAGAGGTGGCCTCACTTTATCAAGGCAAACCCTTCTGCATGAACAAGTAATACTATTCTACTTTGTCCTCTCCAGCAGACTGCCCCTTTTTACCATCCTCACTCTCTCACTTATCTTCAGTCTCTCACTGTCCACTGGTTCTTACTGCATACAAACACAACCAATGTCACCCCTATCCTCAAAATACTCATTTGATCCATTCAACCCACTAGCTACAGTCTCCTATCTCTTCTCCATTTCATAAAGAAAATGGTCTTCTACTTGAGAAGACCATCTACAAATGAATTCTCTACTTCCTTCTCTCTTCTCACATCATCATTCAACTGAAATTATTCTCTCCAAAGGTATCAATAATCTCTTAACTGCCAAATCTAATGGCCTCTTCTCAATTCTCATTCTTCTTGACCTCTCTAAAGTCTA